TTCCCCGAATGTGGGGAGGCCACAACTTCCACGTGACCCGGTACATTGGCGGTTGGCCAATCATCTACTCCGACCCTGAAGCGTGGCAAACCCCTTGGTTTAAAGGATTCACAACCCCAAAAGAGGAAATCGGCACCAACTAGTGACCCCAGTTTGAATCCGACCATCGCTCACGCATGTGTTCCAATGCATGAGGTCATTCTAGATTACGATGATGTCTTAGACGAGACAACCTGACTTCCCGAGAATCGCGAAATTGCGGTCCATTGTGAAGTATTGGATGAGGTTTGAAATCGAAATGAGATGATTGTCGATGATGCATTTGCGTACACAGTAGCTACTGACATCATGCTTAGCGATGACATTGAACCACATTTTATTGATAAATGCCGACGTATAACAGATTGGTCAAACTGGAAACAAGCAATCCATAACGTAAGGTGTTTAGACCTATAGTTCCTACTCCACCACATATGAAGCCAGTGGGCTACAAGTGGGTTTTCGTAAGGAATCATAATGAGAAGAATGAAATAATATGATACAAAACATGCCTCGTAGCGCAAGACGTTTCTCATCATCTTGGGATTGGTTACAAAAAGACATATTCCCCTGTAATTGACGTTCTAGCGTTCGACTACCTAATTAGTTTGGTAGTTTTTGAAAAAACTGAATATGCAGCTTATGGACATGGTAACCAGATATCTTTATGGGGATTTAGATACGAAAATCTACATGAAAGTTTCAAAAAGACTTCCATTTACTGGTTTAAATAGTTCTAGACCACAGAACACTTTTTTTATTAGATTGAGGAGATCACTCTACGGATTGAAACAATTCGAGCGGATGTGGTATAATCGCCTGAGTGAATATTTGACAAGTCAGGGTTATGTGAACAACGAATTATGCCCATGCATGTTCATAAAGAAGTCATATTCCGGATTTGCGATCGTTGCAGTTTATGTCGACGACATGAACCTTATTAGAACTCCCGTAGAGCTTAAGGAAATTGCCATTCACTTGAAATCAGAATTTGAGATGAAAGATCTTAGGAAAGCTTGATATTGCCTTGGCCTGGAGATCGAGCATTGTTCGGATGGAATCCTAGTACATCAATTGAACTACACCCAAAAGGTGTTTCGACGTTTTAATGAAGATAAAACAAAGCCTTCGAGTACACCTATGGTCGTTCGAACTCTAGATGTTAAACAAGATCCCTTCCGTTCAAAAGAAGATGAGGAAGATATTTTGGAACCTGAAGTTCCATACCTAAGTGCAATTGGGGTTTTATTTACTTGGCCCAATGCATTAGGCCCGACATCTCATTCACTGTTAATCTTTTGGCTAGATACAACAATGTGCCCACACCTAGACACTGGAATGGTGTTAAAGACATTTTCCACTACCTCAAGGTATGACGAATTTTGGCTTGTTCTACACCCACGAATCTTCGAGAGTTACCGCACCCCTCAATTCTCAGGTTGATTCCCGCCTTATTGGTTATGTAGATACTGGATATCTGTCTGACCCACATAGGGCAAGTTCCCAAACAGGCTATGTCTTTATCGTTAGAGACACCGCTATTTCTTGAAGTTTTACCAAACAAACGCTAGTTGCGACTTCTTTGAACCATGATGAGATTCTCGCCCTGCATGAAGCATAGCGTGAATGCTTTTGGTTGAGAGTAGTCATGGAACATATTCAAAGCTCTAATGGTCTTACTTTTGTTATTGACCTTCTTACGATGATCTTTGAAGACAATGCAGCATGTATCGAGCAGTTAAACAAGGGATACATCAATGGACATAACACCAAGCACATAGCACCGAAGTTCTTTTATTCTCACCACCAACAACATCATCAGAACGTTGAAGTTACAACCTGGCTAATCTCTTTATCAAGTTATTGCCTAAGTCGACTTTTCATAAGCTTGTCCAAGGAATCGGTATACGTAAATTATCTGAGTTGAATTGCTTGTAGTTCTCTTATTTGGAAGTTATGTCTAACTTAAGGGGAGTATTTTGAAGCATACTCACTTGATCTTAATGTACTCTTTTTCCTACGATTATGAGCATTTTTCCCACTAGGTTTTTGCTACCTAACGAGGTTTTGACGAGGCACCCATCTGGGATGATCATACTCCATTGAGTTCACCACTTTCGTCATGTTTGACCTTTTTTTTAAACATTATGCATACTTCTCACTTTTCTCTTTAGTCTATGGGTTTTCCCCATGCCTTGGGTTTTACCATAGTGAGGTTTTGTGAGTTTTACTACCAATGTATACTTTCTTAAATTTGAGACTCACATTTGCCCGTTGTGCCAACTTCATCAACTATTCTACCTTATATGCTGAAGATCTGATGCGATGTTTTGTTTGAGTATTTACACACTTAAGCGGGAGTGTTGCAGTCATATTTAGAATAAGAATGTGATTGTGTAAATCGTAATGTATCTAGTGGTATCTTTGAATATTCCCCTTAGTAGTTTAATTCCTATTAGAGTTGTAATCCTAAAAGGGTAAGGATTTAACTTATCCTACTACTATAAATAAAGGCACAATGAGGTGATACAGCACACACCTCACAATTAAATCTCTCTCTTCTCTCCCTTATTGCTGCCGGCCTCCCCTCTATATTCCCCTAGAATAGCTCAGTTAAATAGGCCTACAACAAGATGTAATTAATTTTTGTTTTTATTATAGGTGGTAGTACTTTTTTATATAGGAGAATACAGTAGCAATTTTATTACTTAATAAGTAGTATCTTTAAAATGTACATCTAGATGATATATAAAAGTCATCGAATCAAGGATATACATATTCATAAAGCAAGGCCAACTTGGCCAAACGATGTGCCACAACATTGGTAGAAGGATGGGTCACATGTGAATCATCGAATGAGCGAAGCTAATGCTGAAGGTTATAAAAAAACTAGACCTAAAGAAAGAAGAATCCTCTTGAGGGCTTCCAATCGCATGAACTAGCTGAAAAGAGTCACTCTTGAGATGCATGCGGTTTTGATGATGCTCCAAAGTGAGATGCACACCCTCCCTTGATGACATGAACCTCATAGCCTTTGGACTAGTGATATGAGAGACCATACAAACAAACAATCCTATGGCTATGGCTTTGTCTCAAAACACAACACCAACGCCACCAAATTTCAATGATCCATTGAAAGCCCCATCAACTTAAACCTCTTGAAATGGTTTTAAGCCATTTGTTGCAAGTGTGTTATAAAGGTTAATCATAAGATGATATTTTACAAATATTTCATATATTAGACTAATTTAGTGACTCATACGAAATAAGAGGGTTTTCTTAACAACTGCAAAATCATCACAAAGTGGTGCAGTATTTCCCTTGTGGACGTTAATTGTAGTGGCTTTGATTCATAGGCTTATTTTCTTATTGTTTCTCGTCTTAAGGTCTTCAGGTGAATGGTACGATGTTTACCTGGTGTATTTGATGGTGTTGGGTCCATCTTATAAAGTTTACGCCTTGTGAGTTTATCTTTCCTGTTGGTTACGTGTGGGTCTCTCATGGTTTAGAAATCGTACTTCTAAGGAGTTTGTTTTGTGTTGTGTTTTTTTTAATTTGTGTGTTTTTCCCTTGGCAAAGAACTATGAGCAGATCTTTCTGATGCCTCATAGCTAGCAAGACTTCTTTGTCGATGGAGCGTTGTCTTTTGCAAATTCATCAAAATATGATGCAAATTGTTTTGTCCCCCATAAGCATTGTCTTTCATTTTGGTATGTGTGATTATGTGGCTATAATTTTATATTATATTTTTTATTGTAGTTGTAATCATGATACTATTGTTATGATGTTCTTGATTTAGGATCAGTCAACGCATGTGGATCCCAACTTTATTAGAGAGATGATACAAATGATAGTACACTATGTCATACGAGTATCATTTTTTATTATTAATGTTTCTTACCTTATAAAAACAGTTTGGTTTCATACATTCTTTTTTTGCTTCATTCTCCCTCCCACTTCTACCTTCCCTTTTCATATTATCTATATACTAAAACCCGGTAGAAAAGCACTATTCATGAACAGTGTTTTGGCGGAACTGCCCTTGCGCTGCTGCCCATTCACAACTATTTTTTTCCGTTATGTACAGTAAATTTACAATTTTACCCTTTGTATGCATGTGTTGGTCATCATGGAAAAGAAAAAACAATCTTCGAGGTCTTGCGTCTCTCATCAGCATGTATTCCCCTCTGTGCTACATCCGAAGCCTTTGAAAAAAAGCCGAAAGAAAAAAGCTACTCACAAAAGAGATGATAAATGCGAAGACCCATTCCTTGAAAAGACAGAGGACAGAAGGGATGCCACAATTGCATAAAATGATAAAGATATCGGTTAGAGAGAAAAAAAATGATTAAAAAAATATGAAAAGTTGATTTGATGTGTTTGGTTTTTGTTTTCTAATATTTTTTTGTTTAGCGTACCAAGGAAATTGATGAGCACGTCTTGCTCGTTCCCTTCCATTTAAGAAAAAGACAGGAAAACAGAGATGCCATTGCCATTGCAGTTGCGTGGTGGTGGTGGTAGTAATGAAGGCTCATTCCTCGAAAAATGGCTAATAAATGCGAAGTGGCAGAAATATATATAGGAAAGATAGTCCAATCTGAAAGTGTGAGGTCATGATGTGAGGTGGGAGGAAAAAAAAAATATATATATATATATATATATATATTATCTATATCTATATACTAAAGCTCAGCAAAAAACACTGTTCATCCTGTGAGAGCAAGCACTGTTCACCAGTAGTGAACTCCCCAAGCTGCCCTCCCATTCCTTCCTTCCCAGTTCTTTTCTCCCTCTTTGCTGCAGTGAAATGACCTTCTTGCCCTCGAATCCAACGTTTGATGTTTTTTTTTCAGCCCGAATGCTCTCCGCGTGTTGATCATCGCGTCGGCTTCATTTTTGCTCTGCACCAAGAGTTGTTTTCTTCTTTTTTATGGTTGTGAATATATAAATGTGAACATATAATACCTTCGTTTGGACTGAATCGAAAAGCTTACTACGATCAAATTATATTTTGTGGTACTTGAATATTAGCCCATGGTATAATCAGTTTCTACTCAAAGTCTAGAAATCAAAGGACCCCAAATTTGCTAGAAAACGAGTAGAGGTTGGTTGTCCTGCAATCTAACCTCAATAATTATGGTTTAAACTTTATAAATTCTGGATTTTTTTAGTTAATTGTTTGGACTTTGAATTGGCAGATGATGTTATATTAAGTTTTGAACTTTGATTTTTGTTTTGTGTGATTGCAGAGCAAGGAGAATTGACCCCAGTTAGCTCCAAGCTTGCGGTAAACATTTCTTTTTGTTTAGAGTTATGAGAATTCTTATAGAAAAAATTTAGAAAAACTCAAATTATAATTTTTGGTTTAAATATGTTTTTAATTTGGTCCACCATGTTATGTTTGTTAACAGGAACCTAGAAGAATCTCAAATTCAGTTTCGGACTCTGACTAAAAATGAAACTTGGTGCTACTAAGCGATCGTCCTCAGCCCTCAAAATTCAAGTAACCCCATGATTTTTACATTACTGCGTTCGTTTTCTCTACTAATTATTGTTATATGAATTGTATTCTTCTATTAAAAATGATTAATTAGACTGTCTAGAAAAAAAAAAAAAAAAACCTCAGGCATTGCAGGTTTGGGATGATAGTTTAAATCGATATGCTCATTAGCCAGTCAGAGAATCTAATTTGGGAAGTGGGTTTTAAAGTTTCAATAGTTTCGTTATGTGTAATTTTCTTGCTTTGCCTACTAAGAATCTAATAACCAAATGCTTGGTTATTTTCTCCAAATGGTTTTTAATTTGTTGTAGGTAAACGAGAGCTACTCTACTATTTATGCAGCAGGGGAAGGGAAGGGAAGTAAAAATTATAGGAAAATGCATAAAAGTTACAAGCTTCTAATTAAAAATAGAAATGGAGTGACCAAACAAAAAATAGGTAAAACTGACCACTACTTTCTTTCTATTTAAATATAAATCAATTGATTAAGTTTGTGCCTTCACAAGTTTAAAATGAAGTTATGTGTTGATTTTAAAAGAACTATGCATGCTGGATTTTTATAGAAGTGTCATGAAAGTTTTATACCAAACTTTTTACAGGAATTAAGTTGATTTAAGTATGGGTGGTTTTGTATTTGAAATCTGAAAGGAGAAACAGAAATTACAAGAAGAAGAGGAATACTGAATTCCGATCATGGCCTTCTCTTCCTGCCTCTTATCCAAATCCTGACAAGTTAGTTACTCAACCTTCATTTCTCGTTCATCTCCTTTTTTTTTTTTTTTATTGTTTGGCTTCCGAAATTCGAGAAAATTAGGATATTTAAAGATTTTGATTTCATTTTAAATTTTCTTAAATTTATTGATTATTAGATGGCATAATTTGTGATGTAATTGATTTGAGCGATTATTATTAATTTTAATTTTTCATGGTTAGTGCGGCAACGCAGTGAAATGGGTATGAATAACATCTTTTGTGTGTTTGAATCCTCAATGAAGTTGTTTACTACAGTAATTGTGTTTGTTTGATAATAGGGATCTTATTGAAAAGCAAGGAAGAAAAATTGAATTAGATTATTGTGGGGCTCAGGAAAAACTATGCTTCTTTGCAAGAGAAATTTACGAAATAAGAGTTGGATAAGATGGTAATTAGATGGGTTTGATATTCGATGTGGCTAAATTTAGTTAACTTTTGTACATTAGTAAATGTTTGAATATGTCTATCAGGCTGCAATGGAATCTCTCATTAGGGAAAGATAGGCTAGACTTGAAATTGAGCAACAACAAAATTCCCTCTCATATGAGCACACGAGAGTTCAAAGAGAGCTTTCAAGTGCTACTCAAAAGGTAGGCTCCATGTGCAATTGTTCATTGCTATTTAGGCAATTTCCTGGAACATTGAGTAGAAAAACAAATTAGAATTTTGTTAGTTTTTTCTGATTAAGTGTAAGCGTTAATGTATTTCATCCTAATATGCAAGTGCAACTTTTATTAGTATTGCATTTTGAAAGGTTAGCATCTCAAGTGAACCAAATTTACCATTTTCCATTTAAATGAATTTTAAGATAACCTCCAGTCCATGTTTGTTTAACAATTTTTTATAATTCATTATATAGTTTTCAAAAAGGTCGTGCATAATTCTTGCTGAACTTGGTTTGGGTTTCTTTTGTTTACAGATAGAGTGAGTTAATCACAGTTCTATCTGGGTAGTCATGTTCCCATTGTTGCGTGACTTTATGTCCAAAGCGATCTTTCTCTGCATGATGACTGTGTGTTGATTTGAAGGGATGGTTTAGTAAATGGGTGTTTCTTCTTTTTGGCCTTTCTCTATTATCATATATCTTTTTCTATTCTCGGGTATCAGATCATTCGAAACAAAAATATTTTAACTTTAATTTTGCTGGTTAAGGTTGGGTTTGAGTCCAACACGATATACACTTGGACAGAGTAGGTAGAAGACAGTATGCAAACATGATTTAGGACACAGTTTACCTATTTGTAAACAGTGTGAAATATTATTAGTGACGAACATCCAATTTGAATCCCCCACATGCTAAATTAGGTACTATTAAATTAGTTTTATGTCCTTTTTTTTTTATTTGAAAGCTGCTTCTTATTTCTCTGTCTTTATTAAGATTCTAGGGTGTGCTTTGGATTTGCTACATATGGTCATATTTTTTTAGTTATTTTTAATTGAGTGTTTCATCTGGTATTTCATTTTGTTTTGTTTATTTTTTTTCCTTTTTATGTTTAAATGTTTTTTTTTCCTTTCTAAATTTGGGCTTCTGGGAAATTCTTGCTCACTGTTTGGATTCCGGGAAAATTAGGGGATGTCCAGTGGTATTCACATCCTGAAAACTCAGTGAAAATACATACCAATTTATGTGCAGCTGAAAATTTGTTATCTGATTCTGTTCTAATCAACATGATTTATTTGTTTTTTAAAATTTTAATTATTTCGTATTTATTTTGGGATTGCAGATGTTTAAATGATGGAGACGTTCGCAAAGCTGTTACCCGGAGGAGACATGTCTGGATGAAGGAAAGGTGTCTGCACTGCCCTTGCTATCTCAAATGCCATCACCAATCTCTCTGGTTAGTCACATTCCTCTTGGAATATGCATATTCTTATGTGATGTTGGCTGATACCTTGGTGAATCAACTTAATAAAAAATGTGAGATGAGCAAATTGAAAAGTCTACTTTCTTCTCATATGCATCCTTTAACATATGTCAGTTTTAATTATTGATGAGCAATTGAAAATTTAGTTTTTCTTCTCATGGTACACTTACATTGGTAGATCAACATATGTTTGTTTTTAACATATCTTATTAATGCATTTGAGAATCGATTGAAGAAACTATTCAGTTCTTTTAGCAATTAAGAACAAGGTAAACACAGTTGTAAATATGTGTAAATAAGATAGGAATTTTGATGAATTTATGTTTTTTCCTCCGTTTTTCAGTGTTTTCGGGCATTGAAGCTAAATATGGAGAGGGTTTTGAGACTTTTAGACCTATTGGACCTCCCAAGGTTTGCGTGGTAAGGAATTTATGGAGTTATACGTATAGTAGTCATTATATTTTATGTTCTATTGAATTTAATTTAATGGTTATACTTTATACTCCTGTGAGTTATTACTGTTATTTTTACTCTGAGTAGGATTTGTTGAACGACAAACTACAAGGAGGTTTTCTTAAACGAATATGATATGCTATGAAACCGAATGAAGCTTACGGTCTTCTATTCTCTTTTGTTAATTTCGTGGTAAGTTTCTATAACACTGATTAGTTATGTCTTCGAGGTTCTAATGGCTAGAAATGCTAATGTAATGAACCGTGGAATATTGTAATAGTTTATGGTCAATGTGATCCCATATCTATTTGATTGGAATATTGTTCTATAATAGATTTGAACTTTGTTTTTCCAATACCTTATCACAAAATAATTCCACCTTGGACAAATTACAAGGTATGCTGCAACCTGTGCTTTGATTAATTGCATTCAAATTGATACTGCTTAAGAATGCATTTGAACAAGTTGAATTTCACGCCAGCAGCATCGCGCGGGCACCATTACTAGTTCCTTACTAAAACTGAAACTTAAATGAAACTTCAACTAGTCACCAAACATTAATCACCATACAGCTTTTCAGCGTGCAAGCAACAATATTAAGAAAGTTTAATCAGTTGACATCGACTTCAGACTTTAAAGGCATCAAGAATATTTGGTGAGGTTCGCAAAACATCACATTGAGATCGTTATGGAAAATGATCTATCTCTGGATCTCTTCCTCCTAATCCATCAAATCAGAGAATCTGAACTATTAAAATTTGATTCAACGGATGAAGTTATTATAACTTTTAAAATGAGATTCTATTAGTAGCTGTTAGATCAAATTTCAATAGCACGGATTCCTTGATTGTACCCTAAAGAAGGAACAGATATGCACACATTGTTCATGACTGATGGGTTTGGTGCGGCTTTTTGCTTTTTGCTTTTTGCACATCATAGAATAATCCATTTTTCAAATTCGCACGCAAGAGAGAAGTAAAAGTAAGAACGCTTAATTTTGAAGTTGAAGAAAACCCCGCACCAGCAGAAAGACAACTTCTTTATATATATGCAATTCATGAAGTACCTCAAACGCCACACTGTCATTGAGATTTTTGTTCTGCCAAAGAAGCAGGCTCGTAAGATCGCTATAGCTAGAGATCGATCGATCGAAGCCTCACTATATGTCATCTCAGAGCGTGCAACTGATTATTCAGGACCGTTATGTAAGTTTCATCATGCTATATATATAGAACCCTAATAAATGTATATGCATGTATTTCAAGATTAGATTGATCGTTAAGCGAAGTGAATGGATTCTATCTTTGGTCTTAGGATGTTTAACAGGATGCAAATTATGATAGAGCGCTACTTAATTTCATGTTAATTTGGTTTTGATGATCCCGTCACTTCGTCATGTGGGTTTTGTTTTTTGGCCTTTTTCTACGTAAACTTCACGAAACTTACAATATGCATGGTAAACCAAGTGTGTGGGTGTACTCCGAAATTGTTGGAATTTCAGACAACATAATACCGGCTAGCCAATCAGGCAATCATGATTACCATATGGTTGTGGTCATCATGGTGAAACATAACTTCCAGATTATATTTTGATAGAAGCGGCGATGAGTTCAAACTCATGATTGTAAAATTAATAAGGTGACAGAATTAACCTTATATGTTGAGTGGACTAGCCAAATGTTAGATTAAAACAGAAGCACTCAAATTTTTACCCTAATAAAGCATTCACATAAGTTCACTCGAGGTCTCAAATTCGATTCTCCTCTCCCAATATCACTAAAAACATTGCAAGTACAACATTTAGGTTAGAGGCTTAATTAGAGCAAATCTCTGTCATCTTTTTGCACCAATGAGCATTTTCTGGCATTACTAAATTGTAATTTATGTCAAAATTAACCTAAATAAAATGTCTGAGACCCCAAAAAAATTGTCACATGCGTAATATATTGTATTGAACCTTTTCCGCAAACAGGTGGTCATGGATAATGGCATACTCCAAGTTACGTTATCAAAACCAGATGGAATTGTTACCAAAATACAATACAATGGCATTGACAATTTGCTCGAAGTTCTTGATGAAGAAGTAAATAGAGGGTATATATACTTCACCATGTAACTGCTTATAGTTATTTTCTTCGTTCATGATCAATGTTGAAACAGTACCGAAATTAGGTGTGAACAGTTTTACTTATACTAAAACTTGGAAATTTGAAGGTATTGGGACCTTGTTTGGAGTGAAGCAGGAAGTGTGGGCACAACCGGGACATTTGATGTGTACGTAAGACTACTCTACTATTAAAGTGTTGAGAAAACTAGATATAAATCCAGTTTTTCAGGCCAATTGGACTAAATCCTTAAAGGGAAAATGTGGCAGAAAAAAAGGTCCATTGGACCTAAATCGATAAGAAAATGAATTGTACTAAATCCAATAGCAGCTTAAGCTTTGGACTTAATCTAAGAGTCTTTAAATTATTGATTTTTATATCTCTTGTATCAAATCGTTTAGTCAACACTACAAGAAAAGTTGTCAATAACCGCTAACATGTTAGTGGTATAAAATGAAGTGGATAAAACTTTATCAGCGGCAAAAGGTGAACATTGCCTTTACCCACCTCATTTTGTACAATAATATTAGTGGCGATCTTGTCAACTTTTCTTGTAGTGTTCATGGCTTCTCTTCTAAGCAATAATTGTGGCTCCTGTACAGGATTAAAGGGACAAAATTCAAGGTTCGAGTGGAAAACGAGGACCAAGTAGAGATCTCCTTCACAAGAAAGTGGAATCCGTCTCAAAAGGGAGAACTTGTCCCTCTCAAAATAGATAAAAGGTTTGAATAATTCACGTAGTTCTTAAGAAATGAAAAACTTGAACTAATAATCGAGTGTCAGAGTCTTGATAACATGACATTACATTTTGCAGATTTATAATGCTTCGTAATTCTTCAGGCTTCTACTCATATGCCATCTATGAGCACTTGAAAGAATGGCCTCCTTTCAACCTTCCACAGACCAGGATTGTCTTCAGGCTCAGAAAAGAAAAGTAGATAAAACTTTCTTCATTGTTTTCTATCAATAATCAAGTTAGCTATATAATTTGTCGTCGTTGTTATCAACACTAAAAAATAGTAATCGAAATAGTAATCGTTGTTCCTCCGTAGTGGAAAGTATGAACGCAAAATGATTATTTTGTTGTTAAAAATTGTGATTCCTTGCAAGAGATCATATTTCAGCTTCACAGCCCTATGAAGTCTTAGAGTTCAAATAATGAAACGTTAACAATAATTGTATATAAGCTAGTATGTTATTTACTGGGAATACTAATTGACTATCTTTAATATTTTTGGTGGGTGATTTATCAGGTTTCACTATATGGCCATAGCAGATAACAGGCAAAGATACATGCCCCTCCCTGACGATCGATCTCCTGAGAGAAGTCAAGCCCTAGCTTACCCTGAAGCAGTCCTTCTTGTCGATCCTATAGAGCCAGAATTCAAGGGAGAGGTAAATCTATCCTCCTCTATAAAGAGGTCTAGCTACTAGCTAGGGTTAATTACGAAAATATTCTTGAACTTAATTGTATCAGAGTTCAAAACTAGGGTTAATGGTTGGTTTAGTAAGGTTAGGGTTTACCAAATTTCTATACAAAAGTTTTTTCGAAAATAAATATAATATTTATTAATAATTAAAAAAATACAATTGCAAATTGTAGGTGGATGATAAGTACGAATACTCATGCGAGAACCAAAACCTGCATGTTCATGGTTGGGTATGTATGGACCCACCCGTTGGCTTTTGGCAAATAACACCCAGTGATGAATTTCGATCCGGTGGACCTTTCAAACAGAATCTCACCTCCCATGTTGGCCCCTTTTGCCTTGCGGTAAATGAAATAAATTGTTGCAAGCAACGGCAGAGTTACGAATTTAAATAAGGGTGAACTAATTCAATTTTCTTAAAATATGAGTGTGTAGTGAAATTTAAACATTGAGGGTAGGCTAAATTTTTGTTCTGTGCAATAAAGACCATAGCATGCTTATCTTAACAGCAAACAATTTCATCTTTTAAAACTTGGGGAATGCTAGAGGCCAGGGCAGTCAGTAGTTGGCTCCGCCCTTGGTTGCATCCATTGACAACAAGCAGTGTTACAAAATACAAGATACATCTCACGTCGAAAACTTAAGAGTAGAATATTTGAAAAAATCTACAGAATTAACTATATTATACTTTCTTTCTTCTTAGAAATAAGTTGATTTATATTGTTGAAAATACAAAGCAGATGTTTCTTAGCGCTCATTATTCAGGAGAGGACCTAGTACTGAAGCTGAAACCAGATGAACCGTGGAAGAAAGTTTTTGGCCCCGTATTCATTTATCTTAATTCTGCGTCCGATGCAACTGATCCATCACCACTTTGGGATGATGCAAAAAAACAGGTCGACCTTTTTTATTCTAATTTAAACAAACTCTAAAAGTATTTATATTCATTTATGTTCAAAAAATTCAAAGACTAATAACTAATAAGTAGCTAGAACATTTACTTTGGATATTCAGATGATGACAGAAGTGCAAAGCTGGCCTTACAAGTTTCCTGCTTCCAAGGATTATCCGCCGTCGGATCAACGGGGTAATGTTAAGGGTAGAATACAGATTCTGGATAGGTACTAGTACTTAACCCAAATAAAAACACCTCGTCATGTAATATTACTTAAGCTAACTAATTAGTAGATTATTGGAAGTAGATAGATATCATGAGAATTGTATATACCGTCTTTTATTCCCAGTTTTTGTGAAATTCGTCCAAAATTCTACTTAAATCTACACATGTCTAGGTATGTTAGTAAAGATCGCATACCTGGAAACGGTGCGTATGTAGGCTTGGCACCACCAGGAGACGCTGGATCATGGCAAAGAGATTGTAAGGTGATTTGTTTTCTCAACTTTATAACCGAGCAAGTACCTTTTTCCGAGAACTCGAAAAACAGGAACTAGTACGACGGAGTATTGCAACTCAATTGGTTGACAATGTTTGCATTTTATATATCAGGGCTACCAGTTCTGGACTAGGGCAGATGAGAAAGGATATTACTCTATTCAGAATATACGTGAGGGTGACTATAATCTCTATGCATGGTGTCCCGGTTTTATTGGAGATTATCGATATGACGCAACTATTAGCATAACAGCAGGTCTCTCTCTCATACTTTTCTCTTCCAGAAGATTTGATGAATTACCGCTACGTAAAATTGAGTTATGATCAATACTTTAATATATGTCTATATTAATAAGCAGGTGGTGATATTGATGTGGATGATATTGTATATGAGCCTCCAAGAGATGGACCAACGCTGTGGGAAATTGGCATCCCTGATCGTTCTGCTGCTGAATTCTATATTCCTGATCCTAATCCAATGTATATCAATAAACTTTATGTCAACCATCCTGATAGGTTAGCTTTCGAGCTTGGTTAACTGACCACTTCATCTCTATGGAATTTAAATTTAGTCACAGAAATCTACATTAGTACTATAGTAGTCTGTGAACGTATAAGCGACTATACATCACAGATAAATGTTCTCTAGTCAGACATCTTTGGCAAAGATAAGATGGCTAGTTGCCACCATTCATCAACTTGATTTTGGCTTTTGCTTGAATGCGTGATCTAGATTCACAGTTAGCTAGCAACATAGACATCAGTCTAGCAAGAGAACCAAGAGAACATTTTGTTGGAAAAGTTAGCAAGTTAGCAATTTGGTTTTTTTTTTTATGTTAGGGTATTCTTTTGTGGTATTTTATGTATTAGGGCTTTCTCAATTAATCGTGAACCCTTTTGTTTCAAGATCAGGTCTTTATAAATACACTTTTTTGTAATTTTATAGAAGTTTGTGTTCTTTGTTTGTCAGTAGAATAAGAACAATTTTGCCATGAGTTTTTTTTTTTTTTCTTTTGTCATCCTTTCATTTGCTAACACATTTTCCTATATGTGTGTGTATGTTCGGTTGAGAATATTAATCCTACATCGGTAAAAAAAAAGACTTTACATGTGCTTATAAGTAGTTGGTTACCTTCCATATTATCACTTGATTATGGTGGAACCTCAACTTTCTTCATGTTCCACTAAATAAAAGATCTTGATCATTTTCTTACCTACACTTTCAGGTTCAGGCAGTACGGATTATGGGAAAGATATCAAGAGTTATATCCTGATGAAGATTTAATTTACAGCATCGGCACCAGTGACTATACTAAAGATTGGTTCTTCGCCCAGGTTCCTAGGTGGAGTTCCTAACCTACATTGGCTTTACTTTCTCAATGTGTCATTCTTTGTGAGTAGTTAACTTAACAAATAAATTTCGAAATTAAATCCGTATCCTTAACTTCGAGCCTTTTGTTTCACAATATATAGGAAGAAAGATGATGACACATATCAAGGCACTACATGGCAAATCAAGTTTCAACTTAAGCATTTCAGTGAAAGTGATACCCTCAAACTTCGAATAGCCCTTGCTACTGCAAACATTGCAGAATTACAGGTACATGTTATGTGTAGAATTGCATGTAAGTGTAACCAATGCTCTAACTAATCTGGTTGCTTTTGTTGTTTTTTTTCCTATTGAAGATTCAAATAAATGATTCGAAAGCCGACCCTCCGCTGTTTACGACCGGAGTGATTGGAAAGGACAATACAATTGCTAGGCATGGAATCCATGGTCTGTACTGGCTGTATAACATAGATATACCAGGCACATTGCTGGTGGAAGGAGCCAATACCCTATTTCTAACGCAAACAATGAGCACTAGCCCTTTGGCTCCTTTCCATGGACTCATGTATGACTATATTCGTTTAGAAGGTCCATCATCTTCTTCTTCCAGTACCACCTAAATTATATCTGTGCTTCTTTAATTAACACAAATTAATGAGGATAATATTAAAATTTAACGTATAAATACCTTAAAGTTATCATACTCTCTGGCGATTTCTTATTTCTTATTTGTTGTGTGTTTTTATGCACTTGTTGGATCATATGTGAATGCACATTATTTACACATTATAAAAAGTTAAAGTAAAGGTAGTGCTATCCACACCCTTATTTTGACTTCTCACAGATCTCTCTCGATTTTCTGCTATTAGATCGAATAAACTGAAAAAAAATCAATTTCTTGTTTTCCTTGAAAAAGTAATTCGATTGATGAAATTTAATATGATGCTTATGATATCATCTAAATCGATGATATTTATGAGATTGATATTCAAATATTTTTGGCAAAAATTAACATGGGAAGTAAAAATGGGTGAATGCTGTACTATCCCAAATTAATTGGCAGGATGTGAAGCAACAATTTTTCTTCTTATATTCTAAGAAGGAAAATGCATCTAATTTGGAGGCAAAAGAATCTAGTTGGAAAGAGAAATTCAGAAATCAAACAATATAAATCAATTCAAAATTTTAAATTGCAAAATATTCTGCTTAATTATAACAAAAGAAAAAAAGGTGGAACTGTTAGAGCAATTACATTACATGTGGAGTCTGTTTTTGGTATCCTCAGCGGTATCAGCTGCTTCAACTTGGATTTTGGCTGTCTGAAGCTCGGCTTCTGTTGCTTCCTGCTCATTCCTTGCTGTCAACTTCTTAGCCTGCTCCAACATCAATCAACCGTCATAAAAATTAATATCGCACAAGAAAGAACACGCCTTTGCGTACATCCGTTCCAGCCGGTGTGACAGCTCAAATCCGATTTAGCCAATATGGTTACGCTCACGTCTGTAAATAGCTAAGCCATTAAAGCAAGAAATAAACTAACCTGACCAACGAAGCATGCCTTAACATAACGAAAAATTTCTTTGCCTTGAGCAGTCGGGAGGATTAGCACTCATCCAAAATCCAAAGAGAGAGAGAGAGTGAAGAGAGAGAGAAGTTGAGTAGACGTTTTGTTTTGTAGAGTGTGTCGCAGAGTCACGAGAGTCGTGGCAGCTAAACAACACATCCACGTCTTAGAGCAGTTCCACCGTGGTGTATTACCCGGTGGACTAGGGATGGAATAGAGTCAAATAGGCCGGCGGATAAGGTCCAGCGTATGCCAGCTCAAGGGACATGTTCGGTAGGGATTGCCTGCCCGAGAGCCCGACGGCCTTGTGACGTGGGCTGACGTCAAGACGACATCAGTCATAATATAAAATTAATAAAAATATATAATATTAATAAAAAATTTAAAAAAATGTAAAACTCTGGCTTGGAACTCAACCGCTCACGCCGAGACTGATGATACACCCACAGATAAATGAAAGAGATCCAGTCCCTCCTCCACGGCAGTTGTCGCCGCACCCCACACCGCATTCACCTCACACGATTTGGGATTTTTTTTTTTTTGGGGGGGGGTGTGGAGAGAGAGAGAGAGATTTTAACTAAGGAAAAACTGTGAATTTAAGGCCCTGCCGCTGGAGCTAAAAGTGAGAGAGAGCAGAGCAACTGAAAAAGAAAGAAAAAAAGAACACATAACTTTTGGAATGGTGCGTTGGCATCATGTGAAAAGAAGAAGAAAAAATAATAAAAAAAAGGTTTTGAAATGGTGCATCGGCACCATGTGAAGAAAAAAACGAAAGTTTTGGAATGGTGTGCTGCACCATGTGAAAAGAAAAGAAAAAAAAAATTAATAGAAAGTACTACAATGAGATGGATTAAAAATCTTATCTGAAATTACAAATAAAATTATTTTGTATTATTTTAAAAAAATACTAATATTTTATTATCTATTATCAGGGTTATTCAATATAAGGATGGAAATGCAAAAGATAATTACTGTTCATTAAAAATCATTATTGTTTATTGGATGAATTAAATAATGAATAGCCCGAAAGGATCTTAACAACGATGAAACTGCTCTTACAGTCTTAGCTTCCTTCTTTATTATATGGTAGAGTCTAGAAAACCAGTACTGCGTGATCGGTCGAGTGAGAATCGATGTTGCTTTTTTAGTCATCCATTAAGCTTTTCTTTATGTTTAACTTCTCTTTCTATTTTAACTATTTTTTTTAATCAAACTATTTTTTTTAATCAAACTATTTTTTTGTCCACTAAAACGTGGCTTTCACGTCAACGAAAAATGGATCTTATGTCTTATGTGTTACATCGGATCGAGATCCGGCGTGGTCTCGTATCTAACATCAAATTTTGGTCATATCAGTAGACGATAAGAGTGATATGTAATTTTTTATGTCTTTATTGTTTACTTAAAATTATAAGGTAAATTTTAATTTATTATTCTTATATTTCGTGGTTTTGGTCATATCAGTAGACGATAAGAGTGATATGTAATTTTTTATGTCTTTATTGTTTACTTAAAATTATAAGGTAAATTTTAATTTATTATTCTTATATTTCGTGGTTTTCAACATTTAGCATATCAAATTTTTTTCGTCTCAGAATCATATCTAAAATGTAAATTTTGGGACAATCTCATACATCTCTTAGTCAAACTGTTAAGTCTCCCGTTAACTGATGACGTGGTGCCTATGTGACAATGATTGAACGCCATATGTCATTAAAGAGTCCACGTGGAAATTCAAAATTCAAAAATAAATTATTCAAAAAAAAAAAAAAAACACCTTCGCCTTCCCCGAATCCCACGCTCCCACCCCTTTCTCTCAGTCTCTGATTCGTCCTGTGAGCTCGATTCCTGAGGAGGAAGACGATGGCGGCATACAAATGAAAGTACTTCGAGAAGAACGAAGATCGTCCCGAAAAACCTCGAGGCTATGGCGTCATAGAAATGAGAGGCCCCCATTACTCCTTCTTGAGCCAAAACGTCCTTCAAGTACTTCCCAAAATTTCATCTTTCTTTTCCCTTGGATTCATTTCATCATCATTTTTTGCTTTTGGCTTTTTCACAAAATGTTGTTTTGCTATGTAAAATTTTGGCTTGCCCCCATTCAAAATTTCAAACTTTTGCTTTTCTTTCCGGATTTTAGGACTTGGGTTTTTTTAATTTGTGGAAACGTTGATGTGGGTTTTATCATAATTTGTTGTAATTACCACCCCCAACACTCTTCCTCTCTCACCACTCCTACCCGGACTCCCACGACTCCTCCCCTCACTTCCGCGACTCTTTCTCTCTCCCCATTCCAAAAGTGGCCCAATTTTCAGCAAAATCCAAAAGGTTCAAACTTCAATAGTACCTGGCTGCAAGATTGTTGATGTAAACAACAGAGGGAGTGTTCTCCTGAAAGAGCTGAACCGTGGCGAGCTCATCGGACTGCAGCTTCCTCGGCGGAGTGACGACGAAAGCAGAGGCCGGATCCACATCGGCGAAAACGGAAAATGGCATTGTCTCCAGGGGGGCTTGGGGACGGGTTGGCTGTGGACCGCCAAAGACGAGGGTTGGGGTGCAGGAGAAGGAGGAGGAAGAAGAGGGTAGGGGTTTGGAGAGGAATGGTGGAGGAGGTGGTGGTGTGGAAAGGAATGGTGGAGGAGTTGCGGGTTGCAGAGGAGAGATGGAAGGGAGGGACATGCGGGTTGGAGAGGAAGGAAGGGAGAGAGGGGGATGGAGGAGGTAGGAGACGCGGCGCCCCGGGGGGGGGGGGGGCGGCGGGGGATTTTATTTTATTTTTTAAGTTTTTTAATATTCAAGTGGGCCCTATTGATACGTGATTCCCAGTCATTGTTCATATAGACGTCACATCATCAGTTAACGGGAGACTTAACAATTTGACTAACGGATGTATGAGACTATCCCAAAATTTATAATTTAGGTATGACTCTGGAACGAAAAAAACTTGATGTACTAAATTTTGAAAACCATGAAACATGAGAGTAATAAACTGATATTTAGCCTAAATTATAACACAAAAATTAAAAAAAACTTACATGAATACGTACATTGATATCAAACATTTTAATCTAATAATTCAATAACATGTGATTCTTCATATAACATTATATTATTCATTTAGTATACCAGGTACCGATAAATTTATTTTACATAAGTTATCCTCGTAACAATATATTTACTATTAGTGTCACATTACCACATGTAACAATGTCTAGGTGTAAGTGATTGACTCTGAATCTTTTTTGTTCAATTGGTATATTATATATGTGCAATTTCCAAACGAAATTACTAATTTGATAAAATTTGAACTTAGAGTTAAAAAAATGGACTCGGGCACGAAGCTAGGCCACGAGATCATTCCGAATAATAAAACCTCCGCTACAGCATCCTAAGTAAAGTATGACGAAGAAAGTAGTTAAGTTTGGAAGAGCCAACTTAATTGGAGATTCATATCAAAATAAATAAGGGTTTTCATTATGTTGGTAAAATAAAGGCGAAGCTAGAGTTATGCATCTATATCTATATAAGAGAAACATTTACTATTCTTAAAGAACAAATTTTCTTTTTTCTGTCTCTTGTTTATTTTTAATTTATTCAATTCGAATCTCAAAAAAAAAAAAAATTAAGGGTGCAGCAACGGACGTGCAACTCAATTTTTGGTATAATATTCATAAGCATACAAAAGTAATAAGAGGTGATAAATTTAAACACACACAAAAAACACATGTTTTAACAAGCAGCAACTTCACAGGCTTGCCTTGCCATACAAGTTACAACTAATAAGTAGAAGCAACAAGAAGATTACAGGTTACAAAGGCTAGCTCAATCAATAAAGTTCTATCCACGACTAAAATTTGCATACAGCTAAGTCAATCGTGAATTTTGCTCTACGCAGATTTCACGACTATGCATACCGTTATGTTGGTCAATCATACACATAAATGATCTTCATTCTTCATCCTTGCTTGAAACATGTATGTACCAAGCATGTTATCGAAGCTAAATAATCTTGTCAAAACAAAGCCAATCAAAGTTTATAGTAAAACTCTAACAATTCAATAACATGTGTTTCTCTATGTGACATTACAATATCACGTATCGATAAATTTGTTCTACACAAGTTGCCCACATAACAAAATGTCACATTACCACATGTAGCAAAGTCTAGGTGTATGTTGTTGATTGTAAATCCTTTTTGTTCAAGTGCGAGATTATATATGTGCAATTTCGCAAACGAAATTACTAATATGATAAAATTTGACTTTGACTTAAAAATACAAAGGACTTGGGCACGAACCTAGGCCACGATATCATTCCGAAATATAAAACCAAGAGCAACATTTACTCAATTTCATGGGGAACACATTTTCTTGTTTCCGTCTCTTGTTTATTTTTAATCTATTCAATTCGAAGGTTACAAAAAATTAAGGTGTGCAGCAACGGATGTGCAACTCAATTTTAGTATAATATTCATAAGCATACAAAATTAATAAGACGTGATAAATTTAAACACACATAGGAAACACATGTTTGAACAAACATCAACTTCACAGGCTTGCCTTGCCATACAAGTGACAACTAATAAGTTGAAGCAACAAGAAGATCACAGGATACAAAGGCTAGCTGACTAAATAAAATTCCGTCCACGACTGAAATCTGCGTAGAGGTAAGTCAGTCGTCGATTTCATGACTGTACTTACACATAAATGATCTCCATGCTTCATCCTTGCTTGTAACATGTATGTACTAAGCATGTTCGCCGTTTTGTCAAAACACAGATAGCTAATCAAAGTTTGTAGTAAAGCTCCAGATGATTTCGTGCTAGCAGAATTTGAACAGTTGAATCAATCAGAAAAATCTTTCGTACAAGTCATTTCTAATGTATTTACATTTGATTGGCACATTTTCTTGCATGAGAGAAAAACAAGCGAGTTGCGAAAGACCCTGTATGAACTCAAGAGGAGTTGTTAGCTGCAAATGAGAAAACACGTAGCAATGGCTCCGTTTGAGAAAAACCAGAAGATGCCAATGGAACTACAACACCTGCCATATTATCCATACTGCACTTTTCAAATGCAGTACTTACAATGCGGTCAGCTAATGAGTATGAACCTGCCGAAGAGAGCTCCAATTTCGTAGGATGATGACTTCGTGCTTCCCACAACAGATCGCAAACAGCCTGCAAGTTCAGCTTCTCAAAAACTCCGTCAGATGTAGCCACAAGATATGTATCATTTACAGTCAGGGGTTGCCAATCTGTCAACTCCGGTTCTGATACAACACCAAAACTGATGACAGACAAGAACAACTTAAATTAGTTACATGTCACAAGAGACGAGACATTTAAACCAGCACATCTTTTAATTTCGTTGTTCGATCAATAGCAAGAAAAGAAGGAATGCAAACTTTAAAAATAATCCTATTATTCTTTAACTTCTTACCTTTTAAAGGAGATGTCACCAATAGATCGGGTAACAGCCAGCTGACCATTTACTCAAGGCACACCAGCTCATTCAAGAACATTTCCACCAGCACTTTCCACCCTAAGTTTTTCATCGTCTCTGTCTGGATGATGATCTCGTCAATTCCTTAACAGATAAATGCACCAACTCATCCGCAGGAGCTAATTCAAAGTTTTTATTGCACCTTCGATGTGAGATAACACCATTACGCCTTTCCTCCACATGCAATCTTAAATAAGCAGCTGCAATAACCACAAACATCAGAAGATAAATAACTTCTGTTGTGCTTTTAATCTTTCCACATACAAACTAAATAGTCTCACGCTCAATGATCCATACATGCATGCAGAAAACTACATGATTTTAAGAGAGCAAGAGAGAAGAAACATCACATAAAGTTCCCAATAAACCATGTTACCTAAAACAGATGCACCTTTACACCGAAAAAAGAAAGAAAAATACCTTTAGCCTCTGCAAGAGTTTGAAATTTTTCCGAGCACAAAAAGGCCTTTGAGTCTCCAATATTGGCAACTAAGATTTGACCATCCAAAAGTAGTATAATCGTGGCAGTAGAACCGGAATTTAGATTCTACATAAACGCAACCTTCAAAAATGAATAGCAGGAACCTCAATACGGTAGTAAGCAGATAGAACACTATATATGCAGAATAATTCAAAGAAAGCAGAGAAAAAACAATTAGAAGAGATAAAAATATACCTTAGAAAATTTTGCATCAATATCATGAACTGCCCTCAACAATGCTTCTTTCAAGATGTCAAAGCGAAAAGAATTGTCAAAGTTTGCTTGCAACGAATGCTTAAACCTGAGAATTCATTAATGAACTAAGCATAATTATTCATATGACAATTTAGAAACAGAGTAGCTCTGCACAGAGTAATTATTTATATGACAATTTAGAAACAGCACCTTGCAATATC